TTATTGTGAAAATAAAAAAATATATATATTAAAATTATATACATAGTGTTGATGGAGTTTTACCAAAAAAAAATATATTTCTGAATAATTAATATAATATCAATTCTACATATGTATAAATACAATATGAAACATGAAATTACTATATATATTACATTTTGACGCTGTAAATTATATAAGTCTTATTATACATTCTATTAAAATATATAAAAACTCATTCAGAATATCAAAATTTATTATATAAATTTTAGATATATAAAAATTCATTTATTTTATTTTCTGTTTAATAGTTTAGATCTAATATCATATTACAATATTTTTATATTTTGTTAATTAATTTTCCATTGTATCTTATTAAAAGTAAGTTTATAAAATATATTTTATATACAAATTATATGAAATGCTGAATAAAATATAACCTTTTATGCATTTTCCATATAATAAATAAGAATGCATAATATTTCTAAATATATTATTATTATCTAATTGTGAATTGCTGTATATTATATTATGAGAATGATTACCTTGCTCTGCGCTAAAGTTTTTCTTCAAAATGTGATTTTACATATAAGTTGCGTAAATTATAAATTTTTTGCATAAATACTCTTAATAATTCATGTAATAATTTATTACATTTTTTTTTATACATTCCAAAAAAAAAGCTATTTTTAATTATGTATTATAAAATGTAAATTATTTTAAAAAAAATGAGGATTATAATGTAATGCATGTATATATATTTATTATTTTATAATAATGCAAATATTATATACTTCAGTGTATTAGTTTTAATGATAATTACTTTTCATTTTCTCAAGTATATTGCAATTTATCCTAAACTATTTTATCTTGTCAAAAATAATGTATTAAAAAATAAGAAAAAATTACATTATTTAATGTAATGCTTCTTAGAAATAGCGTAAAATAAAATGCATAAAATATTATAAATATATTAATTAATATGTATTATATTAATGTAATTAAATCTTCAATTATAATGAAAAAAATTTTAATTTTTGATTTACATATCTAATCCTGGCCATCTTTTATAGAATTATATATAGAACAATGTATATACTAAAATAAATACCTTTATATTATGTTCAAATTATCAGTTCCATGGATGATTTAACATTAAATAATTTAAGAATATTTTTACCTTATCTTACACATTTAGTTAAAAAGTGTACACATTCTGAAATAATATTTATAAATCATTGATATTCTCTAATTTATATAAAGCAACATATTGTGAAGGGAGTTGTTCTTACTTAACCAAGCAAAAATAATAAAATAAAACAAATAATTCTATAACTAAATGTGAAATAATTATTAATATATTAAGCAACCAAATGTTATTCTATAATTAACTTCAAAATATATGCATTTTATTTAAATGTAGTGCTATTCAATATTATAAAGTAAAAATAAATATAACATATATATAGTACGCACGAGATATACATACAAAGAAGAATACATAAGTAAAATACCGAATATGACAAATTATATCCTTGAAAATATAAGAATAGTTAGCACTCCTTATAATTAATTTTATTTTTTTTATTAGGATATATCACTAAACAGTTTATTGAATGTATTACTTACATCTCTACTTTATATTTTCTTTTCTTATAATAGATAAAATATATATATAACACTTTGTATAATTCAAAATATTTGTACAATTATTTTTACATATTCATTTTTATTTATTAAAGCTATTAGGAACAAATTACTAAGTAAAATATTATATATTTTTATAGTCCTTGTTTAATGAAAATATTATATAATGTATTAGTAAATTCTAAATATACTGTGGATATATTAATTATAGTGCTTTATCTATTGAATAAAAAATGAACATTTAAAAATTACTCTAGTTTATTCTATTAATTCATGAAATTATGAAGATATAATTAAAATACAATGAATTTAAAAATTTTATTCCATTATAATCATATATACTGAAGAAAAATCGAAAACTAAGAAATTAATGGATTCCCTATAAAATAACTACGAAATAATAATGCGGAATAAAATAATTTTTTTTTAATTGTGCAAAGATTATGTAATAATATATTTATGGTATAAACAGCACATGGCATTAATTTATTAAAAATATTTTTTTGAAAAGCATAGAATTACAATTGTTTTTTATAAGCATTTATATCATAACTTTTATTGATAAAAAACAAAAATATATACATAATAACTAATTTAGTAGAATTTTCAAAGAATTCTAGTATACAGTATTAATAAACGATATAATATAATTTCATTAAATAATATATATATATATATTTATTTATTTACTAAAGTTGATTTTGTAAATAATACTATTTATATGTTATACTATCATATAAATTAATTTCTAACAAAACGTTATTAAATATGTAATAAAAACCATATGAATATAAGAGATTATGTATTATAAATACAACTATATATATGCATCAATATAATATGATATTATATATTTATCTTTTGTTTCTTATATATTATCATCTTTTAATTTTCTCATTAGAATAAATATAAAAATAAAAAGAATTTAATATAGAAGTGACTACTATAACCTAATGTAAATTATTGTTACGTGCATTTCTTTTTAAAAACAAATATTGGTGAATATACTACAATACACAAGCAAAACTTAAAATAAATTTTATTAATATGACATCACATTTTTTTGATATATATGCAGTTTTTCACGATGTAATATATACTATTATTTATTAGGAGGAATTACTTTTTATAGTATTAAATACAATTTTCAAAAAGTTCCGTTATTTCGATTTTTATATAATTTATTATTATACTTATGATAATAATGCAAGGAATTTTTAGAATATGCTAATAAAGAAATTATTATATATGCCTTGCATTCTTATATATTATACAAATATATTAGATGTAATTTTCTTTTAACAATACAAAATATTTGCTTAAGTCATTTTATTTTTTGCATTATACTCAAATGATTCATCAATTTTTCTTTCTAATATTGAATACCGAATGATTGACCCTGTTTGATGTTATAATTGAGAAAATAATTGTGAAGATGGAATAGATTAAAAATTAAGTAAATATAGTATTGCTAATGATTTTTCAGAGGGTACTAGAAATTCTATATTTCTTATGAGCCCACTTGGTTATTTTATAATAAATTTTGTAAATCCTTTTACTGATGAATATAATATAAAAATGTTAATATTGTATCTTGAAATGAAAACCTCAACTGACTCTTCTCTATGTGTTATAAATTACTATATTTAAATAATACATCATTGAATTGTGGAATAACATTACGTATTGTATATTTATATAACATTAAAAAATTAAAAATAGTTTAGTATACTTCTGCACATGATTAAATTATTAAATATTATAATTGAATTAACAATAGTGTTTACTCAAGATAGGAAACATACTAAGTATGCTAAAACAGTTGTTTATAGCTATGAAGAAATGTATATTTAATATATATCCAGTAATAATATATCACATAATAACATATAAAAACTTTTTTCCCTTCAAGTACTAAATTTAAAAGAAAAATTAAGCCTATTAATATGTGATTAATAAATAAAAAAAAGTCTACAATTGGACCCAACCATTGTTTTATCCATTAATTCTTTAAATGTGCTAGAATAAATAAAATTGTCTCCTTGTTCATAAAACACTATATACGCATCGTTTAACAAACATATAGTATTCTTTCTTTTTTTTTGATGTAAACATTTCATATATTCTATTTATAATGTATACAGAGAAAAAGAATTAAATATAATTATTTTCTATTGTTTCAGTTAATAAATTATAATAAAAAAAATACTCATAAAGTATACTTATAATAAAAGCGTAAGATATATACTTTATTCATTCATTTTCTCGAGTACTTATGTGCAAAAAAAGAATATTGAGAGATAGTGCAGCATTATGATGCACAATAAA